GGCATTCCTTTAAATCATTCCTATGGAATACAACTGCTTAAGAAAGGGGACTTTCATTTTTATGTAGGATGTTAGTATTTCTTTAGAAACAAATACTTTTTTTAAAAAGTAATTTTAATCTCTTCCCCTTTCTATCTTTTCTTATGGATAATTCCTTTTCCATTGGAGACTAGACATTAAAGAAAAAAGAAAAGCATGGCATATTTGAGGAACGGGGTAATTTTCTGCCTTTATTTTTTCCCCTAAGGGAACAAAGTGAAAAACAAACTCAAAAAGAAAACATTTCTAGTCAGCCAATTACTATTTAATGAACTGCATCCTCCCAGCCCAGAGGAGGTAGGGACTCTCGTAAAGCACTACCATTTTTATACATTTCAGTTACAGGCTACATGTTTGTGGTAATTGTAGCCTATATTTCACTCCACCTCCTGACACTGTTACACAACATTTATTGAAAGCACGTTTGATGGTAATGAAGTTTCTATTAACTATGATTAAGTTTCATAAAGCACCTGAAGATAATTTAAGATGTGCAGGAGCAGAAAATGAAACATTTGGTTTAGTACATTAGGAAACGTAATTGATTAAATTATCTCATTTACAATAAGTGCTTTCCAGGAGCTATGCAGGGCATACATTTCCCCCCGTCTACCATTAGAGTTTGCTTGGAGATCTGCAAGATTTTCCCAGCTTCCCACCCTCCCCCCCATTTCTGTCACTCTCACTTCTGGTGCCCCTTAGCAACTTAAATCCAGTTTTCATATAGCCAGTCTTTGAGAGAAGGATCAAAAGTCAGAGAACCATGTAAGAGTTACTTAGTAGAACAGGTCGTTTCTCAATTAGCTTCGTAATTGACTTTGATTTTGCATCAGTGATGATTCATGCAGTCTTAGAAACTAAGTTCCCGTCTCTCTGAACGCCAACAAGCTGTATTGCATGTTTCTAACCCCACAGCTATAAAGGAACCCTTTAATTCTCCTAGGTATCTTATATGCTAAAATCAATTCCATTAAGGTTTCTTTTTTAATAAATCAGAAAATAAAGCGATTTGACTGATATTCTTTCAAGATTCTCTAATTAAATGGGATCCGCGCAGATAAACAAAGAAAAGCGTATCAATTGCCCGAGCTAAGTTATGACACAGACCAATTGTACGTGACCAACTGGGAGATGACTCCAGTGAGACAAAGACAAAACCAAATGAAAAAGGCTGAAGCAGCCAAAGCAAGCACAGCACATTTTTGAGCAACCGAAATTTGACTTTGTGTATCCTTAGAAATACTTAAGAACTGGAAATGTAAAGGAGAAATATTCTCATGCAAGCTTTCTACGCGTTTGGAGCCGTTTAATGGGTGAAGCTGGGTGGCTGCCATGCACCCTGCAGAACTACAGAGCATGAAAAAGCCAAACACCCTTCACTCACCAAGAGCTGTAGCCATCTTGGACAAGAACTCTGCTCCTCTGATTATTATTTTTATTGCGTCACATTTTTGCAACAGTTTTGTTACATGCCTTTGTAAATAGTTACGAAGTTATCTGTGGATAACATGGATTTGAACTTGACCAGTTCTTTTAAAAATCAGAGGCATACCCTGGGATCTGATAACCCAAAGGCTTCCTTCAAGCCAGCAAGAAATTTTGCTGCAGAATGTTTTGACATTGCAGTCTACAGCACGCGAGCTCAAAGCAAGGGTAGTTCAGGTTTGGATCTCCAAATGTTTTTGGGCCCGAGTTCCATAAAATTTCAAGTAATCTGATCACCCTATGCCCCTATATCCTGGAGGAATACTCAGACTTAAAACCCTCATATTTTATAGTATGTAATAGAAGAACCTGTCTTCAAAGAAGATATAAACAATCACATGCCTTAGCTCTCAGTACAGGTGGATTCTTGTTTTAAGTCCTTCAAAGAAATTAAGCCAAAAATGCATTTATAGATCTAGCTGTCAAAATTCAAAGACAATTTTTTGTTGAGAATTAAGCAGTCAAAAGTCCTCAAAACTTTGTGTACCATTTATGAAAGAAAAAAGCAATGTCTTTGCTTTACAACAGGCCTCACGGAAATTGTGGTTTTGATGAAAGTGTGTCTTTTTTTCTTTTTTTTTGTTAATGAAATCTTTCAGTTAGTCAATTCACTCCAAACATGCTGCTCTAAACTAAAATTCCACTGAAATCAATGGAAGACTAAGAAACAAAGAGTGCAGGAGAGAAGCCCGCCAAAGCAGTATTTAAACGACATCTATAAACTCTTCACAGGGCAAAGCACATAAACACGCTTTACCAGTTGATAAATCAAGGCCCAAGGGAGCTGAACAAGACCAGGCAGAGCCAGTGGTGGAACCAGATTTGAACCAAGAAAGCCAAACCCGTACGTTCATTTCTTTTTTCCTAATTACAAGTCCTCAAGAGATCCATTTCCAGATCAGCATTCCCGTAGAAAGGGCTCGCAATCAGACACAAATGACTAAAGAACGGTCACTTTTCTATTTTTAGTCTAAAACCTATGATCACAAAGTTGCTAAGAAGAGGCTTTCAGTAGATGTGAAAGCCTTTCATATAACCTTCAGTTTTATTTAGCTCCTAAACAAATAAAACAGAATGGCAGAGAAGATGAGAAAAATCATATTTACAAGAGAAAAAAAAAAAACAACAACTTACTTTGGGATTTTATTTCATGAAGAGGTTTTTTATCTGAGAGAGAGAGAGAGAGAGAGAAAGTTGCACTTAATAAATTTACATGGAGCATATCTATTTCCTTTATCGCTTCTGTCTAGCTCTGTAAATGAAACATTTTCTCCTTGTTTGCTGACAATATGAATATTTTATGTTGTCCATATTTTTCTATTCGTCTCCCCCCAAAAAAAAAAATCTCTTTCAGCATGTTTCTTAGCAGTAATTTCTCACTTGGTTAATTCAAGTATGTGTTAGCTTTATTGGATGTTTTTGTTTAGAATATTATACATCTCAGGAATAAAGAAGTTCAATACTTTAAAGCGGATCACTTAGCAAAGAAAGTCAGTTAAGAATTGGTTCTTTCTTTGTGTGTTTGCTATATGGAAAGGTTAGTGATGGACGTTTTAAAAAGTAATTTTTAAAAAGCCAAAATGTACAATATATTCACATGTAGATATCTAAATATACACGAATAATAACATCTTTATGTGTTATAAAGAACATAATCAATTATACTACCATGCATATGCAAATATGTTCTAAAATAGATTTTATACAGTAGCGCATCTCTCAAAAATGAGGCTTC